AAGAAGAAAGTAAACCTACAGACATCGGTCTTGTTTAACAAAATCTGCCTACAAGAAAATTTGTCACCAAAGTACACCAACATATATATAACAATGTAGACTGATAAATTCATAACATATAGGATAAACAAAAGGTCAACAAAAGTATCATCTCCGATTGAATGTTAAAAAAATCAAGCTTTTTTATACTTCAAGTGGTTTGAATGATCGAAAATACACAATTTACTTCCTATTTATAACCTTATTCAAAACCTTTCGTGGGGCCAGGCATGGCTTGTTTGTCAGGGCGCTCGAACCGCAATCTGTGGGTCGCGGGTTTGAATTTCGTCACCTAACATTCTTGCTCGGGAACATGGTTGGTGGTGTTGACCTCCCTATATTCTATCACTCCTAAATTAGGGACGGCAAGCGAAGGCTTGAGTACCTTTTCGCGAAATTCAACAAACGATAAACTTTCGTATTATTTGCTGCATAAAGATGTTGATAGCCTAAACTTTGGATAAAGTATTATTTGGTCTGTTTCATCTCTGTAACATTACTTTTGTCATTAACAGTGGTTGATGACACAAAACCTTTATTCTTTACTAGGGAAACAGTTTTAAGTTAGTTTATGTAAGACTACGTGACTACCCCTTTAGTTAAAAGATCAACCATTCAGCTATGAAACGTTTAACCATCAATCATTTACTTCTGCCATCTCTTGTTGTTTATCAGAACTAAAGATCTAAAAGTCACGTAAAGTAAGTAATCTGCATGCCTTTCTTTAACAGAAATGTTTTAATGCATGGACGCCTAATAGATGTGGCAGAAGGTGCACGTACCCTCTACTTTTTATATTTAATGTACGTACACCGTTATAAAAAATGTGTTACGTTGACACCCCCCCCCCCAGTCCAAGAAAGTTAGGCACTTCTGTTTCAATGAATGCAATTTTTTTTTTATTAGTTTAAGGATAGTTAGAAGTGGATATAGTTGTCGGTATGGCATAACTATCATAAAAAAAAACCGTTGATGTTACATAGACCACAAGTATAAATCTTCCTGTATACGTTAAGATAAACATTTTAAATGAACGTTGACTTAAGTTCTAAGTCGCCTGAAAGTAAACACTTTAATATCCTCGTAAAGATGCGCCACTAAACTTGGTCAAAACTTCATAAGAAAGGTTTCCAGTGGGAGTTAAAATATTCCAACTTATGCCATTGTAAGCTACATTAACTTTAATTTATTGAACAGAGACAGACCAACAACTAAACTTACCTTTAATTATCGAATTGTTTAACGCTCGTTTAATGACGATAGTAACAGTACCAACGAGAACAATGTGGCGTCCGAGTAAATAAATATTATCCTTATCTCCATTAAGTTTCTGTTATTGCATCAGTTAAAACTAAAACCAAATTTAGTCTCACTACGATATTTCGTTCTCACATGTTCTTCGTTCAAGTCTGTCTGTTAATAAATATGTGTCCTTATTACCTTTGACCAGATTCTCAAAATTCGCCTAACCCCAGCCTACTAACCCTATGGGTAGCGCGGTATCACATTATTCTGATTATCAGAGAAATCGTTCTAGATGAGTCAAAAAAGCATTAACTAACATGATCACGTGTATATATATATATATATATATATATATTAGTATAAACAATCCTAGAAAAAAAACTA